CCTTGCCCATCGGTCTACTTTGATTGCTCTTGTCTCTGGTGAGAGGAACTTGGGAAGAAATGGAACATTGGTGATCTGGGGCCTGGAACCCCTCTCTCAGGCAGGCCTTGTTGCCGGGTCTCCTAGCATCTCCCCTTGACCCTCAGTTCTGTGGGATGGAGACGGGCTGAGCTTTCCCCGCAGACGGTAGATACAGAAGGCGCTCTTAGGGAGCCCTGTTGTGGTCGGCTGTGTCTGGAGGCTGAGGGTGAGGAGGATGGAGTATGGCATGGGTCTCTCCTGGCTGCTACTCTTTCTGCTGTTGTGTTCTGGGCGGGCTGGGAAGAGAAAGGCCCATCTTGAGAATGAGAGGTTGGGCTGAAGCTCAGGCTTTCTGTGGCACTGAAAGAGGCGTTGGCCTTCCTCATGAGGACATTCAGGACCCAGAGGACAGAGTCCAGCCCCGGTTGGAGGTGCCCGTGAAGCTCTTGTGCTTGTAATACCGTGAAAGGTGAGAGGAGGGATGCCTCGACCCCACGTTAGGCGGAGGAATTTCTTGAGCAGCATTGAGCAGTCCCTTCTAAAACTAGGCCCTACGAAGAAAAGAGAAATCAACGTGACTTCTGCCATGATACACTGTATAGTCCAGAGCAGACAGCATCTGTGCATTGTCAGCCTTCCAGTAGCACAGAGACGGCTTGATGCATCCTGCTAGCTCGGTTTGACTCGCGAGGGTTGTGTGGTTGAGATTCAGTGAGAAGAAACGTGTCTTTCTCTCAAGTTACTTGTTAAAACGTTCAGATTTGCTTAGTTCTAATTTCTCATAGTGATTCAGCTCCCTTGAGAAAATAGCTAGAAACCTGCTAAAGGTTAATTTTTTCTTTGTCTTTTTGGACATAATTGAAAATCTGTTCCATTCATGGTAGGTTTAGCCAATGGGCCAGTGGGGGCCTGTGCTGGGACAGCAGTACTGCTGGGTGGGGTGCGGGGTGCGGGGAACCTGAGCCCACTCCCCAGGATTGTGTAGTGGGGACCTGATGGGTCCTCTAGCAAGCCTAGAATGGGGGTGCCCGGGCCAGGCCGGAACTGGGTTACTTTCAAGATGCTGTCCAGCAACGTTGCTGCTTCTCAGAGAAGGGGGTGTGAAAACCAAGGGAGTGTGCAGACACGTGCAAAGATGTCTCCAGCAGCTTACCTTTGCTGTGCCCTGTGGAGCCTGGAGACCTCAGATGGCCATGAGCAGCTAGACCTCGCGAACAGACAAGACCAGACTGGGAAGCTATGCGCGTGTGGTGAGGAAGACAGAGGTGGACAGAATTTCCATTTTATTTATTTTATTTATTTATTTTTAAGATTTTTATTTATTTGACAGAGAGAGACACAGCGAGAGAGGGAACACAAGCAGGGGGAGTGGGAGAGGGAGAAGCAGGCTTCCCGCGGAGCAGGGAGCCCGATGCGGGGCTCGATCCCAGGACCCTGGGATCATGACCTGAGCCGAAGGCAGACGCTTAACGACTGAGCCACCCAGGCGCCCCTAGAATTTCCATTTTAAAAAACAATCTGTGGCATAACGTCATGGGAGCAGCAGTAGGGGGCTGTGGTCTGCAGAACAGAGAGACCGTGAGTTCATACAAATGTACACTTTTGCTTGGAAACCAGTTGGAAGTCTGCGTCCTCACTGGTCATTCTGCAGACTGTGCTGTAGCGAGTCTGCTCGTAGCCAGGTCTCTTGAACGCACTCAGATTCTTCTCCGCCATTTCCTTTTCCTGTGAGTTGGAAGCGTCCACCTTTCCACATCCATCCCTTGGTGTTCTGGATTACCGGTAACAGAGGATAGGAGCAAAGCGGTGCTGTGTGCTACTCAACACCTAGGCTTGGGCAGTGCTCCCTTTTTCTCTTCTGAACTTCATGAGCATGGCCTGTGTCTCTCTGCCAGTGGGGTAGGACCTCTGTCCTTGTACTGCGTATGGATCACGTGGATGCCACACCCCCCTTTGCAACCTGTGTGGGGCGCTGAGTTAGTGGGTCAGGTACAGGGCAGGGTCCTTACCCCAGTGATCGGACAAGATAGGACATCTGTGTCTCTGAAGGCTGGGAAATGTGTGGCAGCAGAGTGGTTCCAAAGAAAGGCTATTGATGGGTTCCAGAAGTTTCTTTCCCTGAAAGATAGACCAACAAGTGAGTAAAGGAGGAAATTCAGGTCGTCTGGCTTAGAAGGTTTTAAAATGAGTAGATTTCTGGGCTTGGGTGTCAGTTTTTGCTTGGGCTGTCTTAGCCTGACTACCTTGGCATCACGGGACATCACACAGTGGAACATGGCTCAGAGAGAATAATAGTGCCCCGCAGGGGAATTCCTTGGAAGCTAGGTAAAAGGATAAAACGTAGGTTCCCTAAGGGACCAGAACCTTAGAAATCACCCACATCACTTTATACGTGAAAAAAATGCAGAGAGGTTGTTATAGCATGATTTGTCCAAGGTCATAAAACAAGTTAATGGCCAAGTCAGGCTGAGGATCTGGGTCTTCTGGCTGCTCACTTGGCATTGTTCCCCATACCCTGTTACCCCTTGTAGTAAAGGGCAAGACGTTTCACACCACGCTGATCCACTTTCACCATTTGCCAGGCAAATCCATTCACATTCAGAAAAAAGGCAGTGTGGTTACCCAGAAAGTGTTCATCGGGGTCTGGATCAAGAGATTTGGTCTAGAACCTTCAGGGAGAGGAGATGGAAGTCCAAGGGTGTGGTTGGGGATACTTATCCTGGTGGTAGCTGCTTATGCTGGAAGACTGGTCACTCCAGTGTCCTTTTGCTGTTAGTCCTCCTGTCAGCCACCCCCCCCCAAGAGGTGGACTTCCCTGGAAGCTAAGAAATCACTAGGGAAGAAAAGATGAACGTGAATGAGGTGGAAACCCATCACCGCCATCCACCACGCCTGACCACGAATGCGTACAAGAGGCTCCCCTGCCGAACCATTTGTGAGGGGAGCTTTTGCTGCTTCACAGAACATCTCTTAGAAAAGCAAACATCTGCCACGCCTGGGTAAGTGACAGGAACACTGTCTACATGTGTGGACATGCGCACATACACACTCAGTTGCCTGGGTGCATGTCTCAAAGCATGGATTGCCCAGAATGTTCTCAGGACATGTCCCAGTGTCCAGCATTGTGAAATATATTTGGAGTTAAGAATGTTCAGTGAAAATGTTCTGTACTGTTACTATTTCTCAATTGGGTTGGATCAGCCATGGCCAGGAGTGAGATAATATGGGGGTGGGGTGCCCCTACAGTGTCAGGGATGAGAGTGTGAGAGAGAGAGAGAGAGAGAGAGAGAGAGAGAGAGTGTGTGTGTGTGTGTGTGTGTGTGTGTGTGTGTGTGTGATTGAGAAATTATTTGTTGCCTTTGGCAAGGAGGTAAAGGGAAAGTGAGCAAACAAAACAGCATGATTGAGAAAGAGTTCCGTGAAGGGGACTGGGCCTGTGGACACGGCATGCAGTCTTCAAGCCACTGTGGCCCATAGACTGTGGCACTTGGGAGGCTCACCTGGGGACCCGCATGGTTCTGACTTACCGCTGGGTTCTCATACGGGGATTTGGAAGGTGGTGGCAGTGGGTGGTTCGGTGTAGTTGTGGTGACCTGGGCTCCGAGGCTCAGACCTGGGTGCTGCTGGCTTGAATGTAGAGTACTTCTTCTCCGCACTCAGGGTTTTATCAGTAGCTGTACCAGCCGCCCTCCAAACTTCTGTGGTCTCGGTCCATCACTGTCTGATTGCCATAGGTTGTTGCTCTAAGGGAGCCTTGTAGGCTCTACTCCGTGCCCTACTGTCATCAGCTCCTATCTCTGGCTGCCGTTGCCTGCCCTGTTCCTCGGGGCAGGGTGCAGAGACGGGGGTGGAGATGGATCTTGCATCCGGCAGTGGCAAGTAAGGGCCTGAGAACAGGAGTGTGGGTGGGAAGAAAGTCAGCGTTCTGGGCCAGATGGCCCACATGCCAGCCAACAGCTCTGAGCCTCAGCGGCCTGCAGCGCACAGACCATCTTCCCAGCGCCCAGCTCTGCGCTAGCCTGCCCACTTTCCTGATCTGACCCAGCTGCACCGCTGGCCTCTGCCAGAGCAGGGGGCTGGGGGGAAAGGGTCGGAGTTGGGATAAGGGCATGGCTGGGGGCTGGGATTGTGGCTGCTTGTGAGCGGGACCTCTGTCTTCCTGGGGTGATCCTCTGTGTCAAGCCCAACTCACAGAGTTGCAGATTGGGTGTGCGAAAGTACTCGGAAAGCCTCACATGGCGTTTGTAGAATGATGTTACCCGGTTTTCTTGCACTCTTTCTCTCTTGTCGGGGCTCAACCTCACGCCAGAAAGCGAGGGAAGACAGGCAGGGCCTCAGGGGGAAGGGCATGCATGTCGGAGACTCACTGCAGTCCTCAGAACATCTGGAGGAGTCCATAAAGCCAGCAAGTCCTTCCTAAGTGGTTCAGAACCTACTTTGTGCCAGTCACTGCAGTGGGAGCTGGGGACATGAATCAGGAAGGGGATGGGCGCGGGCCTCCTGAGTCGGGCGGGGTTCTGGCGGTGTCTTGGGGGAGCTGGGCACGTGCACGGCTGCAGCGCAGTGAGGCCTGGTGTGACCGAGGTAAGCAGAGGCCCGGTGGCCTCCACGGATGCTCAGTGCCAACTCACCAGTGCCCATCCCGTGCTGCCTCCTTCTCGCCCTGCAATTGGATCTGGCTTTTTTCCCTTGGTCTCTGTGCCAGTGGGTAATGCAGTAGGAAATGTCCTGTTCTTTAGCTCTTGGACAAGCCCAGGAGTAGACTCTTCCTTGGCAGTGGTCCATGGGAAGAGGGGTACGCTAGGCTGTCTGAGCCTATAGGGATGTCTCCATCAGTGCCCGTCTGCAGCAGCCGTGCCTGCCTTCTCCCTCCCTCTTGCTCACCTGCCGGAGGGGTGGCTGTAAAGCCCCCAGGTGCGGGTGGGCTTGCCTTCCAGCCAGCCAGAGCAGCCCCAAACTATCTTCTCCTCTCCCTACAGGAAGCTGCACAGTGGCATGAAGACGTACGGGTGTGAGCTCTGCGGGAAGCGGTTCCTGGATAGTTTGCGCCTGAGAATGCACTTACTGGCTCATTCAGGTAGGCGATGCTGCCCTGACTGGCCCATCTGAGCGCAGGCAACTGCCTCTGGCCCGCCTTCACCCCCACTCAGAGCACGGATGTCCCCGCTGCCAGCCGGGGCCTTCGGCCGCCCCTTCCCATGGATGCTCCCCTCCAGGTTCTTGGAGCAGAGGGCCCATCCTGATGGTGTGACCATCTGCACCAATGCATCGTGTTCTCTTGGGTTTCCCAGGGCATTGTGGGCACCCGGTGCCCTGTGTGATGGACTTTCCAAAGTAGATGACAGTTCCATCAGCATGACAGTGGTATCATTCGGTTCTCGTGGGCTAATGAATCTGACTCTAGGGTTCTCGTTATACAGGAGCCTTTAATAGATCGAGAAAGGTTGGAACACCGACTAGTTACAGTGTGCTGTCTTTTGCAAGATTCATCCATTTCTAGTGGGGTCGGCTGTGTGGCTGCAGGGAGCTACACCTGTGTTTGGGCAAGGCTGCTCTGCCCCATGAGGCGTGGGAAGTGGACGACACCTGACGTCCAGCCTGCCCGGGTAATCTTGGTGGAGGGAAGGATACACACCAGGTCTAATGATCCGGCTTTGAAGCCAGGGGGTTGCCTGGGCTCAGTTGTGGAGGCCTCCAGACCTCCCTACGGGGCCAGCACTGTCTTCGATCCCCTTGCCTTTCAGCCTTGGAGTCGCGTTTTGGGGGAGGGGTGAGGGCCATCTCCTTATGGTCACGTGTTGACCCCCGCTGTCCTGGTCCGCGCCTAGCCCTCCAGCATCTGTGGAATGCACATGGGCTTTGGGGCTGGGCAGGTGTTCATACCTTGTCTGTAGCATGTGCTATGTGACCTTGGGCTGCTCTGTCACCCAAACCCCGTCTTCTGTATCGGTGAGGAGCAGGTGTCGCCTAGCGAGCTCGTATCAGTTTTCTAAAGAATCCGGTGACAGAATGTATGTCACAGGCATCTGCATACACGCCCTGGCATACAGGTGGTGGTCAATAAATGTTGACTGCCCCTGCTTCACCTTCCTCTTCCCCAGTTCTGCAACTGTGACCCTGAGGCATGTTCCCATCACTTTACTCCAGAAGCTTCTGTCTGGCTGGCTGTTTGCCGCCTGCCCTCGCACTGCCCAGACAGTCTTGTAAGTCCTATTTGGTGCTTTTCATGCTTCAGCCTGCCACAGTCTTGCTGCAAAGCCTGTGTGACTCTGCACGGCTTTGGGATGCTCTCTCCCTGGCCTTCAGGGTGCCTCCTAAAGTTCCCAAACCCCTTCTTGCTTTCCATCCTCTCCCTTCCAGATCTGAGGATTGTGCCCTGTGAGGTGGCTGTCTGTCTCGGCGTGTATAATCTGTCCCCACGTCTTTACTGCATTCCTCCTCCCTGGGGGGGTCACCCACGCCCACACCTTGTTCCCCTGCACCACCCTCATCCTACCCACCTCTCCCACGTTGGCCTGGAGTCCTGAGTCCAGACCCCCCTGTGTCCAGCATCTGCTTGGTACTCATGGGCTCCTTTTGTTCAATTTTTAGAACATGCACCTTGTATCTTTTTGCCTCCCTTCAGTTTAGTCGGTCATTTGGGGTTCAGTGTGGGGTTTCAGAGCTGACTGCCAGCCAGCTTGGCCACCCCCCAAGTGCAGAGAGTGGGTCTTGCGTCTTATGTGCTCCCTGCTGTGGGCCCCTGTGTGGTCTCTCACTGTGTGGTGCTGGACACTTCCATGCGGGTAATGCACTTTTCAGCCTGTGGTTAAAGCTCCCTTGCCCACTCCGGAACTTGGCCCAGTGAGCATCCTTTCTCCTTACTCGTTCCTTGAGTCCAGCGCTCTAGCCAGACTCAGCTACTTGTTGGTTTGTGCTCTGTGTAGACAGTCACAGCTTGCTTTCCGAGCCCCGTGGCTCTGTTCGCCCCAGTCCCTCTGCTTGGAATAACGCTCCCCTAGTCTTGCCAGATCGTCTAAGGGCCCTTATGCAATGCCATCCTTCGCCCTTCCCCACCTTCAGCCGGGAGCTGTCATGCTTTCTTCTGGGTGTCCGTATGTCTTTATCTGAAGCTCTCTGGGCACAGTCTTTCCTCTTTGTGCTCTGGTTATTTATGGACGTGCCCTATCTCCCCTACTTGGAGTCAGGGATAGAAATTGGGAAACCTACCTCCTGACCGTGTATGTGGTCTTGGGCAAGGAACGTAAGCTTTTCCGTATCCTCATCTGTAAGGTGGCAGCTCTTAACGCCCCCTCAGAGACATTGTGAGGCTCACATCAGACCTTAGCCCTGGGCCTGGCACATGATTGGCTCTCCATAAATAGAATTTCCCTCTCGCTTTGTTTGTCTGATAGATTATAAGCCCGTAGGGCCGGGGTCTGTCCCCATTATGTGCAGCACATTGCCTGGCACATTGCTGGAGTTGGTAGATACTGGTCGGATGAACGAGTGCAGCTGGGGGAGCATGTCAGGGGAGCTCCAGTCTCCTGCTGGGTCCCTCCTGCAATAGGAATGGTGTAGACTGTTTCCCAGGGGTTCACTGGGGGACAGCCAGGAGCCCACCCCCCCGGCCAGTATTGGCTGAGTGTGAGTGAGCCAATCTCGGCCACGTGGGGGATGCCGGTGAGAGTGGCACGGGGTGGGTGGCACCACTTGCACATGTGCGGCGGTGGGGCCCAGAGCCCCCAGTTCAGACAAGGTGAGTGGCTTTGCACCCCCCCTTTGGAGCTAGCTGCCGCCTGAGGACATGCACTCCCATCCTGGCTGAGATGCCACTGCGGGGTCCTGTGGTCTCAGTCCGATGCCCCGGCAGCTTTGGGAGCTGGGTCCTGTCTCCCTAGGCGCTCTTCTCCATATCTCTCCTACTCGACACAGACGTCTGATTGTGCCAAGTGGCTTGCCTCTCTGAAATGCACTTGCCAATGCCCTTGGAAAAGAGGATTTGGTGACGGGGAGGTGTGAGGATCATAATCGTGCTTTAATTCACCTTTGCAGGTCGCTCGTAGCCTTCTTAGACCCTGATGTTTCAATTCTGTGCTTTCTGTCTTCCCGCATACCTCTCCCCCCTGTGCTGGGATGTCTTGAAAAGAAAATAGCAACAAGGGCTTAGAGAGGCTAGACCACTTCCTGAGCTGTTCGCATCCCCTGAGAAGCAGTGACGGCCCCCGGGGGGGTCGGGGTTGGAGGGCTGGGCCGGCCGTGCCAGGCCTTCTCTCGGATGCCAAGGCAGAAGCAGGGTTCTGCACATTCTGACTCCTCTCCCAGGGGCACGATAACAGAACCCTGGGACGTTTCAGAGGAGACCTCCGTGAGATGACGGGAGATTTTCTTGCTGCTGGGTTTTGAAGGCTCCCTGCTGGGAGCCAACAGCAAGAACGGCCCCTGAGGGTGTGCAGTGCCGACCCACTTTACAGACTGTCACCAAGGGTTGGAGCTGCCCTGTAGAGCCTAACAGAACAATTGGTGTTCCAGAACCCTGGGGACCATTTTTTTTTTTTTTTAAAGGGGCAGGCCCTGGAGAAGTGAGCCTGGGATCTGGGTGTGGGTCACCATGCCCCTGGCTTCCCCTAAATGTTGTTGCTGCCCTTGGGCAGGTACATTCCTTCCGTTTTCTACTGCTCGGCGGAGCTGAACGGGTGCTCCTCGCTCACTTCTTGCTCCGCGAGCTGGCTGCCCCTACCCCCTCTTGGCTAGCATGGCCTGTGTTTGTTATTGTAGTTCTGGCTTGGGGCCAGGCCTGGCAGGGAGCCAGCCTTGTGGGTACAGTGTGTACAGTGAGTGCTGAGCCAAGTTTGTCATCATACACGATTAATTTTTTTTTTTTTTTCTAATCTGGTAGGGGTGGGGTGAAGGAGGAGGCAAGACAAGAGTTTCTTGATGCTTGAGAACAGGCCACGCTGAATTTGCGGAGATATTATTTAGGAACGGGTGAAAGGCTCGCTCGTCCTTCCTTCTGGGCTCGGCCCCCTTTCTCACGTTGTCTTGCTGTCCTCTGCATTTCCCTATCCAAGGAAATCAGCCTGTACGAGGCCGACGATGTGAGGTTTTATTTTCAGTGACTAGAATACTAAATTTAAGCTCCTAAATCAGTTTTCATTGTGTTGAAATTGACAATTTGTTTAATTAGAAGTTTGCCCTGTAGGAGGCCCTTCTTGGAGACAATTCTTTCTTTCTCTTCCTCTCTCTCTCTTTCTCTCTCTTTTTTTCTTTTTTTAAGACCCTAAATGGTAGTACTGAATGTTCAGTTTAATTGAAGTTTTTATTTCGATTTGAATGCGTTAACTAATCAAGTGTTTATGAGATATACCTGATGATAACAATAAGTTCAAATTAACAAACAATAACCTAACTCATTAACTAATGAGATTGATCCGGCTACGCCCTGCATTCTCAGAGGTGGGTTTGGGAAAAGACATGGCCAGGTGCAAGAGTGACCACCTGAGATGCTTTGCGAAGCTGCTCCTTCTAGAACGAGAACATGGAGTGCAGGATTGTGGCAGTGAGCGGGGCAGGCATCCGAGCCCCTCCGCGTCCTAGGGTCGCTCTGACGTCCCCGTCCCCACCCTTTGCAGCCCCGTCCCTTGTGGGGATTGGTCCCAGAGCATCTACGACTTGCTCTCTCCTTGCCACTCCTTGTTCTCACTTAAGTGGTGATTCCTCGCTCGGGGATGTGCACGCGGAGACCACAGACCCAGGCGGTGACTCGGGTTGGTTCTGGGCTTTGCTGGTGTAAGGTTTCCCATGAGGTAGGATTTCCCACAGCTTGGCTCCAGTACTGGTGGATTAGAAGTGAGCACACCCGGAACGGCTTGCCCCTGTTTTTGACTTGACTCCATGCTATTTAGAGGTTCACATGTTTCTGTGGCCTGCCCCTATTCTCGGGGTGTCACTCATTTTTGCAGCCAGCACTGAGTGTGCCTCAGGTTCTGTGTACTTAGCCCTGGAGAGAGCTTACAGCATCCCTGCCCTCAAGGAGCTTACGTCCAGTAGGAGATACTTGATTATAAAGTCATGATCAAAGATGGTATTGTGCACAAA